TGAAATGGTGTTGGATATAGGTATATGGCGGAAATTCAGACGTTGGAACTCAGGGTGCTAGCTTGTTTTGTAACACTAGCATTCTAAATACTGTCAAAATGATATTGAGCCACGGTTTCATTTTTTCACAAATCTTATGTAGCCCAAGAGTAAAAAAGACGCGAACTGGACCTGAGGTCCAATGGTTCGCCCCCAAGCCTTAGGACTTGGGTGAGGCAGAGGTCAGTGCTTCGAGTCCTGCCACCGCCGTGAACTTTACTAACTTGCAGCCTAATGTCTGCGTGCCTCATTTGAGGGGTGGAATATTCATCATTTTAGAATCCCAGTTGCTAACAACTAACTCATACTAACAAAAAAGAAGTCAAAAAGACAGCTGAACAGAAAAATTAAGACAAATACAAGATGTAGTTGCATGGTGATCTCACAAAAAGTACATTAATGCTTCAATACCATTGTCAGTTTTCGCTCCCGAACAATGTCCAAAATCGCAGGTCATTTGTTTCCACCGAAGGATGTATAGAACAACTCAAATGTTTGTTAGGATGAGATTTTCCAGCTCTTTAATGCCGCTGCCTTATTTATACCAACCAGCAAGTAAGTACCTCAGGAGGAAACAGAAGCAGCATCCTACAGCCTGTGAATGAAATAGAAAGGGAAATATATGAATGAGTCAGAAGTAAAGAGTCGCATGTCTGCTTTCGCTTTGTAAGAGGAAAAAAACAAAATTATAACGCGGGGGGAACTTTTACTTACTAACTGGTTAAACATTTTTTTCCATTTGAAGATTACAGAAATATGGTTTATAGGTTAAGGGAAAGTAATGAAACCTGAACAATGAGGAGGTGGATGCAGAGTGACTTTTCTGATTTTGGCCCAAATATTCTCAAGTAAAAGTTAACTAGTGTACAGTCAGGTGTCCCAGTAAGTAGTCCAGTTTCAGGATTGAACCTAAGATGAGAAAAGCAACATTTAAATTACAAAAATGAGAGATTGATATCCAGAACAACCTTTATAATTCAATGTTGAGGAGAGAAATAAGGAGTTACCTAGGCAGACGATGCCGAGGACATTTGAGGAAGCTGAAAAGCTAACAAAATACAATGCCCATGTTAATTAGATACTTTTTCATATGTTGTAGCCAGC